GGGAGGAGCCTGCCTGTCAGTCTAGCCTGGGGAACAGTGGATTGGCTAGGGGGTGGGCCCCATCGGAAGCACGCAAAATCTTGGAAGGTTGATTGGTTAGTTTGAAGAAGCGCCTGGTTAAAATCCCCAGAGAGATGCCTCTCTTGCTCTGTGACCCGCACTGGCGAGTGTTTTCGCGCATTCTCTCTCCATAGCCATGTAGCAGCCGCGTGGCCCACGCTGTGTGGGCTTCACACGCAGGATGCTGGACTAGACTGTGCTTTAAAATGGAGCAGAAACTATGGGCAGTGGCCTCAACTCCAGCCCTGCTGAAGACAAGACGAGCGGAGATGGGACCTTGGAGGGGAACCCCCTTAGTTTTATGCCATCAGTAAACCTTTCCATGAGAACCCATCCTACCCTGGGGGCCTCAGGAAATTCATTTCCTCGAGGCACCCCAAGAACTCCACTTGCACCAGTAACAACGGGAACTAGCTTCACCTGTGTGTGATAAGTACCCTGAACTTGACCCTGGCGGCAGTCCTCAATCCGCAATGGGCAGTTCTAGGGCACACCCCACGTGGTCTGGGGGCCCTCCCGAGCGCTTGTGGTCCGAGGTGCGCGCAGCGGAACTTGCTCAGCAGCACCGAGTGGCTTTCCCTTTCCTCCCTCGCCGGCTCCGCGCTCTGCTGGCGCTCCCGGCACCCTCCCAAGTAAACACCCTGCACAGGTCCTTGTGGCAGGTTGCTGGGGGGGGGGGGGGGGTGTCTAGGACAGTTGGCACCAGAAATAGTAGGTGGGCTTCTGAAAACAGAGATGACCACAGGGATCTGCCCCCCGCGGTAAGTAGGTTGGTGATCCCCCACAGGCTGTGGCAGCACAGTGACCACACTCAGCAGTGTGAGCTGGGCTGGGTGAGGTGCGGGTGAATCCAGGGTTACAGTGACCTAGGCAATAGATCGAGCCCTCGAAAGATATGGGCAGTGCTAGTTATGAGGATTGCGGAGCTGGCTGGCTTTTGTTAAGGGCCCTAGAAGCCTTGAAGAAGGAGAACACAGGCTTAACCCAGGGTAAGTTGCGGGAGGCTAGAGAACCCCACACGCGTTCTATCCCCTCAACTCTGGAGCCGTGGGCAGGCTGTGCTGACAGCAGCCCCGGGGTTTGATTATAACGGTGTCGAAGCTACAGAGAGACTGAATGCACAGCTCCAGCCGGAGGGAAGTGGGGGGCAGGTGGCCTGGAATGGAGATATTTGAATGGGTGCCCTTGAGAACCTTGCCCCCTGAGCGTCCCTGAGCCCTCAGGCCTGCAGAAGTGCCCCCTCCTGGCTGGAGCAGGATACTCTCCTACCATCTGGAGTCCACAGCAGGATTCACCTGGGGCCTCACAGGTGATGCTTATCTTCCGGAAGATCCAGCCACCCCCTCGCTGCCTGCAGACCAGTCAGCAAACGTCTTCTTCAAGGACAGAGGGAATATTTCAGGCTTTTGGGCCATGTGGCCTCTGTGGCAATACTCAAGTCTGCCTGTGTACTAGGGCCCTGTGTACAAGGCCCCCTGGAGCTGGCCCTTACACACTGCTGAGCTGCTAAAATAACAGTGCAGAAACAGCTGTCAACAGGTAAGCCAAGGGGTGTGTCCGCATTCCAGCAAAGCTTTAGGCGAAAACAGGCTGCTGGCTTCTGAACTTCTCTAGACCAATAATTACGGTTAGATCCCAGCATTGCCCCAGCAGGGAAGTACAGCCCCTGCTACAGGCTGTATGGGTAGGAACAGGGAAACAGATGAGAGGAGATCTCACAGGTGTGGGACCGGGCTGGATAAAGAGTGTTTATGGAGGCCTCTCTCTTGATTCAGGACTAAACACTCTGGCAAGGCCCCCTGGAGCTGGTCCTTACACACTGCTGAACTGGTCCTGAAAGCTTAGGTACGGTGACAGCCTGGAGCCAATGAGAGGGTGATGCTGAAACTGCCTTGGAAGATACTGAGGAGAGTTAGAAGGCTCAGAGAGGTGGATGAGGCAGAATGGACTTCCTGCGTGAGAACCCACCAGCTTCCCGTGTTCCCAGCTCACTGCCCAGGACACCTTCCCTTCTCGAAGCAGTCAAGGATGAATTTAGTGCTGAGGAGATGCTGTCAATGGAGATGCTAGGATCCACATAGGGCCACCGAATCATCAGAGGCAGGGTGGGCACAAGGCCTGGATGGTAACCAGGGGTCCTTGATCTGTGGTGTCCCCAGAGGTAAGAGAGAGAGCATTTAATGAGGATGTTGCTTGATTTAACCACAACAGATGGAGGAGATTGGTGAGCAGAGGCTGATGCCAGCTGCTATGACAGAAAGTGGCAGCCTCTTACCCGATTTCTAGGTCTGAGACAGCTCTCAGACCTAGACCCACTGATTTAAGAGAAAGGCCCACAGTGCCACCATAAGTAAGTAAAATAAGTATCTTCTCAATTCTTCCCCCCAATGTGCCCTCTGGCTGTTTACCATAACAGCTCTGCAGTGTGGAAAGGGAATGACCAGACCTTTTGATGTCCACTGGACAGAGTCTGAGCTCACACTGGTTCCAGGTGACCCAAAATACCACTATACCCTCCTTTTAGAGTAGGGGAACATATGAAGTCTGTCCAGGTTCATCTCAGAGTCCAGTGGGTCTGTGGGCCCACCCTATGGTGATTTCCTGGCCCCTAAGTGCACATTGGGATGGACAGACTTGGCAGCTGGCAGAACCCTCATGCTCCTTCTTTAATCTATAAAGTAAGAGCTATTATGGAAAGAAGAACCAAGCAGGAGTCTCTAAAATTGTTGCACTAGTCAAGATAGAACATCAGAAGCAACACCACACATCCCAGATGGAGTTGCGGAGATCGGTCCTACTCCCAAAGGATGCAGGGTGGCCCCATCATATCCCCACTCAACACACCCCACACTGCTCCTTAATAACCAGATGAAGCATGGGGACTGATGGTTATTCTCATGGTAGCTCTAACTGCAGCCAATATGTCACATGCGGTATCTTTAATAGAGCGGTCTGCACAGCCTCTGACTGTAAGAAGCTGATGGTATGGCCGGGGCATTCTTTCCTAGTCACATCAGGAAGACGTACCATGTCCATTAAGTTTTAAGTGGTCAGTGGCCTGGGGCATGCTGGGATGTTTCTCCTATGGGAAAGGACAAGTTATGCTGGGGACATCCTACCACTTAAAAGAGGTATAGAACTGGGTAGGCCAAATTAGACTTTGGAGTCCATGTGCTAATGCCCCAGCTCCTTTATTGGATGACTTGGGAAGCTGCCATGTTCGAGTGGAGTCCAGAGCAAAAAAAGGCTCTGTGATGGGTCCACGCTGTGGGACAAGCACTTGGGAAGTACAACCCAACATATTCCGTGGTGCTAGAAATATCTGCTGGAGATGAGTGAACAGTGTGAAGTTTCCGGAGCCCCTGTGGGAGATCCTCATCTCAGACCCCTAGGGTTCTGGAGCAGAGCCATGCCCCGTACGAGAGATAACTCAACATTTGAAAAGTAGGTCTTGGCCAAATTACAGAATCGGGAGCAAATAAGTGATTATTGCTTTAAGCCACTTAATCTTGGGGTGGTTAATTATAAACAGATAATCAGAACAAGCGTGTAATAATACTTTGTTTTTTTAAAATGTTGTAAAGATACACAACTGACATATCTGCTCTTTTATTATGAACATTTAGGTTGTTTCCAGTTTGGGTCTGTTAAGAATAATGCTGGTCCCAGCTGGTGTGGCTCAGTTGGTGGGAGTGTTGTGTCATACACTGAAAAGGTCATGGGTTCCGTTCTCGGTCAGGACACATGCCCAGGTGGCAGGTTTGATCCCTGGTCGGATGCAATCGGTCGATGTTTCTCTCTTTCTCTCTCTCCCTTCCTCTCTATAAAAATCAATAAAAACCTATCCTTGGGCCCCGGCTGGTGTTGTCAGTGGTTAGAACATTGGCCCACACACTGTAGTGTTGCAGGTTCAATTCCCAGTCAAGGGCATGTACCTAGGTTACAGGTTTGATCCATGGCCCCAGTTGGGGTGTGTGGGGGAGGCAGCCAATCAATGTTTCTCTCTCTCTCTCTCTCTCTCTCTCTCTCCCTCCCCCTCTCCCTCCCTCCCTCCCTTCCACTCTCTCAAAAACAAAACAACAAAAACATATACTCAGGTGACGATTAAAAAAAGAACGCAGCTATGAACATATCTTTTGGTGGAAATCTGTACTCATTTCTCTCAAGAACAAACATAGGAATCAAATTCCTGGGTCATGAGGTAGGCAGGAGGGGAGGCATCTTTAGAAGATATTGCCACTTTTCCAAAATAGTTGAAACGGTTTTGCACCAGCAAGGTGTGAGTTTCGGTTGCTCCATGTCTGCGTCAACACTTCGCATTATCAGCCTTTTTCATCTTAGTCTTTCCCATAGGTGCCTAGTGGTTTAATTTGCATTTCCCCGATGAGTAATGATGTTAAGCTACTTTATGTTCTTTACTAAAAAAGACCACACAACAAACCAAACTATTAACAATGGTGATCTTGCCCTGGCCGGTTTGGCTCAGCGGTTAGAGCGTCGGCCTGTGGTCCGGAGAGACCCGGGTTCGGTTCCCGCTAAGGGCACGTACTTCGGTTGCAGTTTGTCCCCGGCCCTGGTTGGTCGTGCGGGTGGCAGCCACTCGATGTGTCCCTTCACGTCGATGTTTCTCCCTCTCCCTCTCCTTCCTCTCTCTCCCTCCCACTCTATCTGTACAAAAAATGGAAAATTATCCTCGGGTGAGGATAAAAAAAACAAAAACAAAAACAATGGTGATCTTTGCAGAGATCTTTGATGATTTATTGTTTTTATTTTGTTCTTGTTTGTTTTTTGCCCCATAGTCTTTCTGTTTGCTATGCTTTTTGCATTTAAAATTTTTAAATGCCTAATTTTTTAAATGATAAAACAACCAAAAACACACAAACAAAAACTTCTGCCTAGTTACTCTTAAAAATAACAAGGTATATTTACAAGTAGTCACCAAGAAATATTTATTGAGCACCAGCTGTATACACAATACTGGGGTGGGGTGGGGGTAGGGGGCTCTGAAGGGCACAGAGCAACATAGGACGTGGTCCCTACCCTTTAGAGGTGCACAGTCTAGGTAAAGACAGGAGAACCAGAACACATGGGAGCCAGGATGTTACAGAAGCTGGGAGGTGTTTGGGGCAGACACACTAAGTGCTTTGGTGCCTCTGTGGGCTCAGGGTTCAGTGCCAGGAAAGACAACTCACAACGCCCAGGCCTGGGTCAGCCCACCAGGCGAGCCAGCCATAGCCTCAAGCCCATCATTTGAAACACCTGGCTCCTTGTTCCGCTGCTATTCAAAGTGCAACGACATGGGAGAGGGGTGGAGCAGGTGGGGAACAGCCTTGGATGAGTTTCAGAGGCTAGTGTCACACTCTCCCTCCTAGAAAACCCTGCTCCCCCCACCCACATACCTCCATCAGAGAGATCCCCACTCAAGGAGGCCTGTGGGACCACCCAGGACTCTACCCCCAGTGCTCAGAGGAGGGGCGCTCGCTGCTCCAGCTGCCTGAGGTAGAACTGGGGAACCTACTTCTAGTGTGCCCCTTCCCTCCCAATCCACTGAGTTGGGGGGACAGGCACCCCAGAGCAGCTGCCCAGGACTGAGAGGGGATTAGATGGAAAGAACGTGGGGGGAGAGAAGAGAGGACTTGAAAGCCCAGCTGGAAAAGGGGGCACCTGGGCTCCTAGTAAAGTCCCGGGAAGCCAACAGTGGAAGCCAAACCCCGTGAGAGGCTCCCACGTGAGCGGCATGGGGCACGAGGGAGGTGGGTGCTTCGCTGCAGGACCCTCCCTCTCCCATGCCCTCACAGGACAGGAGGGGCATCAGGGAGGGGCCAATCCCCACCCCCTTCCAAACAGTACCTACTTCAAGGTTACCCTGCCCAACCTTAGAGAAGACAAGGGGACTCCAGAGTCTGAATGATGCCCCACTCTGCTGGGCACCCTTCAAAGTGCTATCTCTTTACTTCTCAGATTATAAGGAATTCGAGTCTGAGAATAAAGGAAAGGAGCAGAATTTCATTCTGTCCATGAAACAGTGAACAGAGGGAGCCAGGCCCTCCAGAGAGCACCATCCAGCAGGTGAGGGTCATGCAGGCCCCACCTTACCTCCAGGAGAAAAGAAACGGAGAGATTGAGAGCACAGGATGAGGAGGTTTTAAATACCAGTTTACATAATAAAAATATCTGACAATCTAATAAGCCTACCATTCTAATGTGTGATGTTTTCTTTAAATAATTCTAATACCAGCAGCTGACAGGGTGGGAGGGTGGTGCCGGACAGGCTATATACATGAGGAGTTTAAATTAAAACACATAATAATTAAGACACACAAACTGAAGGGCGAAGGCAGAAGATGTAGAATGGGCCTGCAGGAGGCCTGTGTTTCCAGGAGACCGGCTTCCAGGGGGCAGGTCAGGGCCTCCTCTTGGAGAAGATCAGCCGGCGTTTGGAGTGATAAAAATCTAAGGAAAGAGAACAGAGGTCAGCCAGGCCAGGAGGAAGAGGGCACGGGGGCTACTCAACCAAGGCAAACCGCAGAGGGGCCACAGGGACACAGGCCAAGTCCAGGGACGAACTCCGGCAACACCCACCCCATCCCCCAAGGCGTTTACAGAGCATCCTGCTCCACAGTGATTGATAAGGGGACCTACACTCCTGGCCTGCTCTAACCCAAGCTGCCCCAAACTGTAGCCACCAGTCCTATGTGGTCATTTAAATTCACTAAACTAAAATAAAATGAAAATTCACTTCCTGAGCCACACTAGCCACATGTCAAGTACTGACCAGCTCTGTTGGCTGGTGGCACTCTATATTTATTTACATTACTGTAGAGTTCTGCCAGATAGCACTGCTCCAAGGATACCCTTAGGTCACCCACACAAAGTGTTCTGCACAACACCTGGCCATATAAATGTTAGCTGTTGTTATCCTTATTGTTAGTCCTGACCCAGCTGTAAATTTGCTGTGGGATTCTTGGCTGCATCTCATTGAGCCTCAGTTTCCTCATCTGTAAAATAGGGATAACACTGGTATGCTATTCTAAGGATTAATGGAAACGCTCTCTATAAAGGATTTGGTCTGGGGACTAGTCTAGTAAGTGCCTAAACATCAGCATCACTCATACATTATTTATCAAGCATCTACTACGTGCCAAACACCTTGCTAGGGATTCAGCAATGAACAGAGAGATACAGATCTCTTTCTTGTGGAGATAACATCCTAGTCGGGGAGACTGACAAGGAATTAGCTGTTGACAAGAAAACAGTACCAAAACAAACCAAAGAAGGGCAGAAAGTGTGTGTGTGTGTGTGTGTGTGTGTGTGTGTGTGTGTGTGATGGGGGAAGAGGATTTAAGTTGGGATAGAGCAGCTAGGAAATTATTATCATTAGTTTTCTCTTCATTGCAAATTCACTGTGCAGCCTTAGGGAAATCTACCCCTCTGACCCTTGTTTCCTTGCCTAAAAGGGTGATAAGAATGTCATATGATTGCTATAAGGACTAAATGAAATCTACCTTAGAAATTTAGTGAAGGACTAGCATTTATTTATTTATTTATTTTAGATAGAGTGGAAGGGAGGGAAAGGGAGAGAGAGAAATATCGATGCCAAACACATTGATTGGTTGCCTCCCTCACCACCCCAACCAGGGCTGAGGATCAAACCTGCAACCTAGGTACATGCCCTTGACTGGAAATCGAACCCGTGACCATTTGGTCCACAGGCCGATGTTCTAACTCCTGAGCCAAACCAGCCAGGGCAGAAGGGCTAGCACTTAATAAATGTTCCAAATAAATGATAGCTAGTTGGTCTTGGCTGCAGACTTGCGGTGTGACCTCAGGCAAGTCACTTCCCCTTCTCTGGGTCTCTTTCCCCCTCGCAATGAGCAAGCTGGACCAGACAGGTCAGCCCTTGCACCATAAATTCTGAGTCTTGGTCCCTTACAGTGTCATTCTCTGCATTTGTCCTTACCTGTCATGCTGGTCTGCCGACGTTTTCGGCCCTGAGACGTGCTAGGCCCATCTGGGGACCCCTCAGGCTGCTCAGGAGAGCGAGGCACGAGGGTGCAGGACAGTGACAGGTCCACGTGGTCCCCCTGCAGCCGGGCAGGTGAGCTGCTGGGCCGCTTGCCTCCTCCCAGGTTGTCCTGGGCCCCCCGCGGCCCTGAGGGCAGGTAGAGCTTGGGCAAGCCCAGGCCCCACACACGCTCCCAGGTGAAGTCACCCTCCAGCGGTGTCTCAGTGACAAAGTCGAAGTTCCATCGATCACAGGCCTCCTGCACACAGCTGGCCATTAGCGCGTCGCAGTCTCGGCTCAGCTGCTCACTGTCCACCGGGCCGAACAGGCGACGGCAGGCCTTGCTGCCACGGGGGATCGGGCGGGCGTCCCGGGATGGCTCTGACATGGTGCCTACAGCTGAGACACAAGAAAGGCCCTGGTCACTTGGGAAACTAGACCCTCCTGTGCTTTGTTAGGTGAGGTCCTCCTACTAGAACCCAAGGTGAGAGGGTGTCTCTGGCTCCTTCCAGCTGATTTTCCACCACCTCCTTCCCACAGGGCCCCCAACCTCCCACCAACAGACGCTGGGTGGAGGCAGAGCTCAGCCAGCATGGCACCCCAGGGTGACTGGGAGAGTGAGCAGCTGAAGGCAAGCTTATGTCAATAAAGTTTATTGCAATAGAAGGGATCAGGGGCCTGTTTACCACCAGGTATTATCAGCTAAAATCAATTTACTTTGCCCCCCCCTGAGGTGTCCCTCATGGGTGTGAATGACCCAAGTACGTGTGAATTTTGAGTCCAGCAGTTTCCCAGCCTTGGCCAGGAGGTCAGTTCCCAAATGAATGGACAGGCTGACAGCCTCCAGCCTCCTGAAGCCCCTACCCAGATGCCCATGTGGAGTAACCCTGCTCGAATACTTAAAAGTACCCTGGAGTTTGGGGCAAAAAACACCTGGGATCTAGGCCTGCCTCTGCTGCTTACTATCTAAACTTTGAAAAGTCACTTAATGTTTCTGGGCCTCGGTTTCCTCATTTATAAAATTGGCTCTATGAAAGTTGAAAGAGCACGGCCGTTGAAGCATGATCAAGCAATTGGTCAGGGAGTCCCTCTAGGCAAGGCAGATGGCACAGAGCTGACAGGCTGTATCTGGTGGGCTGTAAGACCACCAGAGCTGACAGGCTGTAAGAGCGAGGGCTATGGAGCAGGACGGTCTGGGTTGGAATTCAGGCCCTGCTGGTTGATCCTGAACGAGCGGCTTAATTTCTCTGGGCTCTATTTTCCTCATCTGTAAAATGGAGACAATAATAGTAAATGTCTCAGAGGACAGATGTGAAGACTACTGAGTAGAGAATGTGCTTAGAGCAGCACCTGGTTTATAGACGTGCTTGGAAAACAGAGTATTATTGTCTCTCTGCCTTCAGTTCTGGCTGAGCCTCCATCCTAGACAGCAGCTGACAGCTGCTGTAGGCTGAGCGCCTTTCATAAGGATGTCATCAGGCTAGTAGCTTGGGGCTGAGGAGGAGCTGGGCAGGGCAGGGCAGGACAGAGTCACAGTTTCTCCCAGGCTGAGCTACATCCTGCCAGGCCCATCAGGTGATCTGGTCTAGACTCTAGATGTCCTTGAAGCCCCTGCTCCATGTTGCCTGCATCCAAGGAACCCGTTTTGCAGGCAAAGAAAATTAAAGGCGGCGGGTCTGGCCAGTCCCTCTCCTCCCACTTCAGGAGAGGGAAAGCCACGGTAGCACTGGCACGCACCTGCCCTGCTCTGGCCTGACTCCAGGACTGAGCGGCTGCACGAAATTGGCAGGGACTGGGTTTTCCTGGGGACAAGTCCTGATCTGCAGGCTCTGAGCATGAAAGCTTTGCTGGGATCTCCTGGGGCAGGAAGCCCTGGACCCATGACACACCTACTGCTCCCCATTCCACCTCTCACAATGAGTGCGGCCCACAGCTCAGCTGATCGGGGAGGGGAAGCACTTGGTGACCTCAGACCAAGTTTAAAGGGCAGAAGAGAAATGATACTTGACCCCCAAACCATACAGCTAAAGACGGTCAAAGGCCACTGCCCCAACGAGGAGGTACACGGTACAGAGCCTTTAAATCACCTTTGCCCACTGTCTTCAGGGCAAAGATTGAAATTTATATATTTTTATGTGCCCGGGCCATTCTAAGAAGTTTACAGATATTAATTGTCCTAAAAAGTGGGTATATTGGCTCTTTTATTTTTTTCACAAACCAGGTAACCAAGGCTCAGAAAAGTTAAGAAACTTCCCCAAGGTCACACAGCTTACATATCACACAGTCAGGATTTGAACCCAGACCTATTTGCCCCGAGTTCTGTGCACTGGTGATGAACCCTATTCCCTCACTAATTTTGAGGTTTCTTAACCAGAAAGGCCCATTAGAATCTCTTGGGGAGCTTTTTCAAAATGTAGATCTATAAGGCCCCTCACTCCCCAGACCAAATTGAAGGAGATTAAACAAGTACTTGGCAGTTCCCCAGATGGGCACACAAGAGCGGACACAGAGGATGCAAAAATGGACATCCCAGGCCTCAGTGCCTCAGAGCAGGAGGAGGGACTCCCCTGGGGCTTTATCAGGAAGCTGGATGTTCCTTGGCTTCTAGGAGCTGAAGATGGGACCGTAATCCAGTCACAGATCCTCTCTCCTACCACCCCTTCTTTATGGCTCTCACAGGGGCCTCAGGAAAACCTGCTCTCATCCATCATCATAACTCCCAGTTCAGAGAGAACTAGAAAACACAAACCCTTGTTTTACAAACAGGTAATTGAGAATACCTTTCTTCGTTGGCTTTGTGCTTTAGATTCGAACTAACTCTAATCCCCAAGTAAACCAGTAAGCACTCAGTAAGCACTGTTGAACCAATGGGATACTCTTTTAGGGGGCTTTAAAGGACGTGGAGGGGGGCAACGTGGGCCGAGCCCAGGGGTAGCCACGGGAGGAGAGGCGGGTGAAGCCGCATCCCGCGGGAAGGCGTGTGTACTGTTCGCGTCGGGGCCTGAAGAGGGAGCTAGTCTCCAGGAAATCACGCGCGGGTGGGAGGTGCGTGGGCAGAGCCTAGGACAGCGGGAGGGAGTTGTGATGAGTCAGTTTCCTGCAAAGTGCTCCCTGCCCGCCAAAACTTAGCTTCCACTCCAGCCGCGCGTCACTCTCAGCTGGGGAGGGGGGAAGGGGAGGGGGACGCGGCGCGAACACGTCACGCTGACCTAACCCGGCTTCCGAAACCCCCTGTTGGGAAACCGCGAGCGCTCTGGCGCCAGCTCTGTCACACACACACCCCGCACGCACACACTCGAGTGCACAGGCGCGCAGTGATCTGGTCCCTCCACCTTATCTCCACGCCCAAAGCACGGGATGAGTCAGATCCCTGGAAAATAAAAATAGACTGGAACAAAGAAAACAAAACAGCTCGAAAGTCCTCCCCGAAACGCGACATGGAGGGAGGGAGCTGCCTGGACGCCCTAAAGTGCCAAACTCAGTTCCAAGATTCTTTCCTGCAGGAGGAGGGCGAAGTGCCCCACCCCCACCCCACCCCCAGGTCCCGGGACTGGGCGGGCACCCGAAGGGCGAGTCACCCTCCTGCTCGGCTCAGCCCTGTGGCTTTCGGAGAGGGAATTCTGGACCAGGACGGGCGCCCCAAGCCCCGGATACGCGAAGCCTCTGCCCTCCGAGTTGAGACCCCGCCCCGCCGCCCACCGGGCAGACCGCACGCCCAGTCGCTGGGCACTGACAGGCTGGAGCGAGCCTGCCCACCGCAGGGCCGGGCTGGGGCGGAACCGGACACCCGGTCTTGGACCTCCCGGTGTCCCGGCTTCCCTGGGAACACTATGTGCCAGCCAAATAGGTCACTGTGTTGATGAGGGGGACAGAGACTCGGGGGTGAGGGGCAAGGAAGGGCACTCCTGGGGCGCCACTGTCCCGCAGCCCAGGCGGTGTTCTGACCTCACCCGTCCCCTTCCCTGGGGTCTCCTTGCCACCGTGAGTCACCTCCTCGCTGGCCCTTACAGGACATGTCCCGACTTGTTCCCAAGAACTGGGGACACAGCCGCGCTGACCTCAGCGCCCAGCGGGGTGGCGGACACGGCGTCTGGGACCCAGACCTCAGAGATCTGGGCGGGGATGGATCCGAGAGCTGCCCGGGAGCGGGTCCCAGATGAACCTGCTGCGCTGGGCATTCCCGCCCCTCCACGGACAGCGGCTTCATGCCCACGCCACGGGCCAGCCGCGCCCTGTCCACGCCTTCCTCGCCCCGAGTTTCACGGGAGAGTTTCAAGGGGAAGGGAGCGTGGCAAGCGATCCCTTGTTCTCGTGTTCCTCCCTCCGCCGCAGTCCCCGCACATCCCGGCTCCGTCAGCTCGCACTTCCAGACACTTACGTGAGCAACGAGACCCACGCACTGACCCACGCATGCCATTCACCTGCGGACACACTCACGCGGACACACACGTAAGGGCGTGCACGGACACACGGGGACACGGCGGCTCAGCTCCCAGCCGCCAGCCCGGGGTCGTCCTTGCTGGCCACGGCTCCCTCACCTCGGACGGTCTCTGTGTCTCGGCTCCTCCGCGACCGGCTCCGGATCTCCCAGCCACCGACTCGGCAGCTGCTCACACCTCAGCTGCTGCCGCCCAGAGGGCGGTCCTTTTATTCACTCAGTGACAAGGGGCGGGACTGCGCGGGAGCGCCCTCCCCCGGGACACCCGCCCTCCCTCCGCCGCCGGCGGCGCACTAAAGCCGGGGAGCTCAGACACCTGCCTCCAGCCCGGCGGTACCGAAGGATCCCCCGCGCCCCGCGCTCGGGGTCTTGCGCTGGAACATTTCCTCCGCGCCCTGAGCCGCGGATGTGGGGCTTGGGGTTGGGAAGTGAGTTGGCACTGCCCAGGAGGAATGGCACTGTTAAAGTAAGCCCACTTTCTGGCCCTGAAAAGGGGTGACATTAATAGTATATAAAAATCCACAAACGACAATAATGCGCCTCACTTTGCAATTCCCAGAAAAGCCCCCCATGATGCCACCACTAGTCCCCCGGTCCCTCACTGGAACACCTCTCCCCAAGCACCAGGGCACCCAGACACCCCCAGCAAAGCCTCTGGAAGGCCTGCAGCACATTCAGTGCTCTGATTCACAGTCGAGGCCTCGAACAAAAGGGGTGAGGAGGGGCTGCTTGGCAATGCCTCGGGGGAAGGAGGGGACTGGGGACGCTTCTCAGAAAGGGGATCCTGGTCTCTAGGGGGAAGTCCTGCGTGAGCAAAGACCTCCCTTCGCCTTCCCCTCACTCCCCTCACCACTCTCACTTCACCAGAAGAAGCCTCTGTGATTGCCACGGGCTTGAAGGTTAGGAAGGGGAGAAGGACTTGGAGAGTGAGTTATCTCCTGGATACTTCCCCACACAGCCCACATACACTGCTGGGGAAACTGAAGCTCAAAGAAGTCCAGTGTCATTACTCAGATCATGCAGCAAACGAATGGCCATGGTTGGGACAAAGGCGTTTTGCCTCCTGCCCAGAGCCCTCTGCTTGCTGCCCTATTTCAAAGGCTCAGGGTGGTTCTCAACCCTCCTAATGCCACGACCCTTTAATACAGTTTCTCATGTTGTGGTGACCCCCAACCATAAAGCTATTTTTGCTGCTACTTCATAACTGTAATTTTGCTACTGTTATGTCTTAGGCGACCCCTGTGAAAGGGTTGTTCGACCCCTTTGGGGGTCGCCATTCACAGGTTGAGAACTGCTGCTCTAGAATGAGGGAAACACCTAGGACCCATCATTTCCAGACAGTTTATGGAGGTGACACTGATGACGAACATCTCTGGAAATGTCCCCTGATGCCTCTGACAGACACAGAAAAAAGCAAGTGGCATGCCCATATGTGCCCACCCACCTCCACACTCCTAGCCCCCCTTGAACCCGGTCTTTGCCCCTCTCTTCATCTAAAACATTTGCAGTTTCTGCTTTTAAAAAATTGCAGAGAACAGTGTAAGTCTAAACAGAAATCCCATTAAAAAAATAAAATCCAGGCTTAGAGCAGCTACAGTTATTGACATCTAGGACTATTCAGTGTCTGGAAATCTCTGCCCAGACATGCCCAGTCTTCTTCCTCTAACACAGCTGACCTCAGGGAAGACAAAACTCCTTCTTCTCCCTTTACTCCCCCGGCGCACACATACTCACACCACCCAAAGGCTGGGTTGTCAAAAGCCCAACAGAAAACAGGCACATTCTCCTACTGCCTTGAATCCCCTGGGCTTTCAGGCTTTTCAAATAGACTTGACATTGTCTGACTGTTTACTTTGGGGGGAAACATTTTAATGAAGGCTAGTATTGAACTACTTACAGTTTTGTGGCATGGAGCTTCACAATGAAATAATTCTTTTTGTTGTTGTTGTTGGAAAGTGAGGTTTTTTTAAAACAACTTTTAGCTCACTACCACCACCACCACAACAGGACTCAACAAATATCTATAAAGCACTTACTAAGTGTTTCCAACCATACACTTGAATGCATAGCCAGGCACGTTCTTAAAGAGACTTCTTCCCTGAAAAGGGCAAAGGAGCAAGTTGTTAGACGTCACACAGGAGATCTGACTCCCAAAACACACACACACACACACACACACACACACACACACACACACAGATCTCAGGCCAGTCCCAAGGGATGTGCTAAAAACTACATATTCTGTTCAGAAAAACTCAAAACAAGGCTGCCCTGGGGTCTCTGAGGTTCTCCTGTCTCCCACTACCCTACCCCTATTTCCCCCAAAGGAGGCAGCCCCAAGGACAAAACAGGCATCAGCCTCTTCTGCGACAGGTCTCAACATGCTCGGACATGTTCCTGAGGGCCAGAGGGCCAGTGGGCTGGTCAGGGCAGCAGCATGCTGCCTGGGCATGCTCCCGGAAAGTAGGCAGCTTAGGGATGGAGCAAGGCTCAACCTGGGGGACAAAAAGGTCCAGATCAGCCCCCACCTGGGAGGGAGGTGATGATGGAAAGGAAAAGTGGAAAACCCAAGCCTGAAAAAGGAGGATGTGAGGAGGACTCAGTGGTGGCTGCAGGAACTTTCCAAGAAGGGAGAGGAAGTGCTGGGAACAATGTTACCCTTTCTCAGAAGAGGCCCGGGGAGTCCCAAACTGAAGCTGTCGGCTTTCAGAGGAATTTACCTCCACACTGGCTCCCAAGAAGTGAGACCCCAGAGAAGAGGCAGAACAGAGATATTACATTACTAAGCAGAATAAGCCTTGTGTTGTTGCTGTTGTCGTTACTGTTGTTGTTAAGGAAGAATAAGATTAGGAGACCCCACCCTGACTTGCTGGGGACTATTCCCAGCCAGTACAAAGCTCAGAACTGACCATACAGTGAGGCAGAGAAATTTGTGACAGAATTTGTGCTACACAAACACTTCCAGCTAGCATCCCTGAACTGGAAATTTCACCTTACTTAAGCCTGAAATTTCACCATGAGAAATTCATTCCTTTGTCATGAATTCTGTTCTTTATTAAATAAGATCATATAGGCAAAATACTTGGCATAGTGCCTGGCACACAGAAATCACTCTTTGAATATTAGTTATTGTTATTACTATGCAAACACCTCCAAGGAAGGCCTCCGTTGAAATTGAGTAATCATTTGCACTTTAGTGGTATCTTTGGTAGGTTTCCCAGGATATGCAGTCTGAAGTGGAGATTTGCTTGAAGGATGTTTCTTGGGAGTATATGTGCAATTAACACCTGTAGGGGTATAAAGAAAACAGGATTGGGCTAAAAGAGAGGACTGGAGTTGTAGGCTGAAGGCCCCAGATAGGCTTCAGCTGATCCCACAGGGAGCTCTGGAGCTAGGATGGTCCCGCAGAGTTCCCTGAAGCAAGGGGGCAGGGCCTGCTTTCACCAGTCATTTTGATGCGGCTACCAGTGGGAGTAGGGATGGGGGTGCGTTTGACCTTGGGTCCAAGAGCTCCCTTATCTGTGGCTGATTCCTAAAAAAGGATTCAACTGAAAGCATTAGCAGCCAACACTCCCCACAGCCAGGGAGAGAATGAATGTGGGTCCTGCAGAGGATGCCGGGTAGCTCAGCATGTGAATGTGATCAGATCATTTAAGGACTAGCAGGTGGTGAGGTACTGCAGTGAATGCAGCCCCCCCCCCCCAAGAGTGAAGGGCTTGCACATATGGTTCCCTGTTCCTGATCAACCTATGTCACCTTCATTCCTTTCTCCACTGGTCGAACTCATATTGGTCCTTCATGGCCCAGCTTACATGACCCCTTGTGGGGAGGCCTTCTCAGAGCTCCCTCTGGTTCCTAGAGCTCCTGGCGAGCAATCCACTGCGCTGTACTTTGCTGGACTGCTTGGTGCCTACTGCATTTCCTGAGCTGGGAAGCTGGAGGGGATGAGCCCATATTTTATTCATCTTTGTACCTTTGAGACCTAGCAGCCTCAGCTGGGGCTCAGTGAATATTTACAGAAGTGCCATTTTTAGCCTGCACTCTGAGGTTAGGCTTCGGTGTCTTCACAAATCACTGACCCTGTCCTGTGAATTTCTCTCCCATCCAGACCCCTTCCTCCCTTACCTGGAAGTAAACACTCTCTTGAATTTCATGTTGAACTTTCCTTTGTTTTCAATGGTTTTATCACATGTGGCCAAGACGGTAATCCTCACCGATTTTCCTATGTGCTCCTCTACATTTCCCAGCACTCATTTGCAGGTTAGTCAGGGTCATGTGACTCATTCTAGCCAATAAAATGTGAGCATAAGTGACATTGTCTCCTTAGGGCTGAGACCAGGTGAAATTCTCCAGCCCTTCTGTCTTCCGTGGCTGTGGCAAATGTGAGGTCTCATCTCAACATGGCGAAGGCTCCATCAGCCTGGGTTCCTGAGTGACTGTGTGGAGCAGAGCACCCCACCAACCTGTGTGGGATACATATGTGAGAAAGATGTGTGAAAGTCACTGAAATGTGGAGGTTATTAGTTACTATGGCATAACTTACCTAAGATTTAGCCATGTGGCTGTGGGTGGTGGTGGTTTATGAAAGTCTGCAGCACTCAATGCAGTGTACCTCTGGGTATTCTCACTGCCCGCCCCCCCCCCCCATGTCTGGCTTGTATTTCTTTTCGTCAACAGAATGGGACCAAAGTAACCCTGTGCCCATTCCGGTCCTAAGCCTTGAGAAGGTCTACCAATTTCTGCTTTTGCATTCCTGGGGACCTGGAGCTACATGTGAGAAGTTTGGTTACTCTGAGACCATGGTGCTGTGAGAAGTCATGTGGAGAAGCCACATGCAAGACAATGGAGGGACTCCCCAATAGGTCCAGCTGATGTCCTAGCTGACAGCCAGCATCAACAGGCCAGCTGGTGCGTGGGACCATCTTGAAAGTTACCTTTCAGTCCCAGTTGAAGCCACATGAAGTGAGACAACCATCCCCAATGAGTCCTTGCCTAAACTGAATCATGAGCAAATAAATGGTTGTGGTTGCTGTTATGTTCTAGCATGGTTTGTTATGCAGCAGTGCATTAGGAAAACGGGTCATTTTCACTGTTATTTAGCATCCAATGATTTCTTCTCCTGTCAATGGACACTTAGGTTAGCCCCAATTTTGCACTATTATATGTAGGACTGTTATGATTATTCTTAC